AATACCTCTGAACAAATCTTGCAAAAAAAACAACAACCCCATAATAGAATTGTTTTAGGGTTGCTATAAGTTGGAAACAACTTGAAGGCACACAACAACAATTCAGTGTAATTCCATCTTAGCTCTTCTCCAATAAGATCAAGGTAGTATACTCATCACTTTGTCCTCTCCACCACCCTATGAGGTAGGTCAGGTGAAAGTCAATGACTTTTCAAGTTCACCCAGTCAATTTCACGCCTCGGTGAGGACTAGAATGTGCATTTTCCAAGTCCCAGTCCAACACTCTACACCACATTTGTCCCTACTGTTGTGCAATAGGGAAATCTCTTTGCATGATCCATTTATGCCTTTGGTCATTGTTATTGTTGTTTGTGTTATATGCCTTCAAGTTGACTCCATCTTACGGCAATCCTATTATAGGCATTACATGGCAAGATTTATTCAGAGAGATTTTTCTATGGTTTTCTTCTGAGACTGAGAGAGTGTACTTTGCCTTTGGTTACCTAGTAGCTTTCCATGGTTAAGCAGAGATTTGGACCTTCAGGTCTCTTGGAGTCCCTGTCCAAAACTCAAACAATTACACCGCACTGGGCCCATTTAGTCATAATTATATTTATTTATTGCGATCCACAGAGGATAAGTCTATCAGCTAAAGGGATGGGAATTGTGCAGACTGTTGGCTAAAAGTGTCCCTTGGAGGGAGGGGGTCCAGTGTAATTTTTGGGATACCAACTGACCCCCAAAGATCCAAGTTCTTTGGCCAAAAAAAGGTCATTTGGCCAAACCAAAAAAATGCATGAATATGATTACAAATCCCTTTGTGGGGCCAAAATCCATTCCTCCAAATGTGACCGGAAGCAGTAGCATCACTAGGGGGTGCGAGGGGGGGGGAGCACTGGGTGGCATCATCAAAGGGGGATGACAACTGGTGAGTGCCTCCCACCTCCCTGCCATGCGCCATGGAGCACAGCAGGGAGGGATTGGGCTGGGTGCCCCCCATCCCTGGTCTGCGCAGCTTTACTTTAGAGTAAAGCCATGCATATCAAGTGTGCAGCAGGGAGGGAAGGGTCTCTTTTGACTTTGCCCCAAAGCCCCTTCCCCTTCACCGGGTGACACCCCATTGTGGGACGCTACTGACTGGAAGTGATGTGTTGTCATTTCTGGTCATCCAAAACAGCAAACACAATGATGCACTGAGGCCCTCTAGAATTCCAAATAATGAGGCATCATTACTCTCTGTGGCCAAGAGCATGGCCACCCTTGAGTTAAAGCCAGCTTATCCCTGTCTGTGGATCACTCTCCCTATATACTCCAGTTATCTTTAAAAAGCTTAGCCTCACTGTATCCATCTCAGGGTTGCATATATAAACTGATCTGAGCAAATTAAGTTAATGTCCTCACTCCTCAAACAGATGGCTGACAGTCAGCTATGATTTAAATAAATAAAGTAGACACCATAGGTGAACAGAAATTGTTTTGTGTGCTTTGAGTAGACTTTTCAAAGTCACCTTTTGAGTTCAAGTCTGAGAATCCTCCAACAATTGTATGGGGAATTATGGGAGGTGTAAAAAAAACCAGTGCCTTTCCCAAGTTCTGGCACTAAGTTTATAATGTCCTATGAATATTTACTATAGAATAGTCTTCCACAGCCTGGTTCCCTTCAAAAGTGCTGGTGTCTTATCAAACTCAGTGAGCAGGACTACTGGTTGTGGTGGCTGGGTTGATGTTTGTTTTTGTGTTCCTTCAAGTCATTTCTGACTTATGGTGACCGAACCTATTATGGGGTTTTGTTAACAAGATTTGTTCAGAGGAGGTTTGCTATTGCCTTCCTGCCAGGCTGAGAAAGTGTGACTTGCCCAAGGGCATTCAATGGGTTTTGTGGCCAAGCTGGGAATCAAACGCTGGTCTCCAGAGTCATAGTCCAACACTCAAACCAGTACACCATGCTGGCTGTTCTCATTTTATTATTTTGCAGTCTTCTCTTCTCTAAGCCAAACCTACCTAGCTCCCTGAGATACTATCTTCCAAATATCCCAGTGTCACTTCAGACACAATCCTGACGGGGTCAGTTGACACATTCAGCTTCTAGCTGTTAAGCATTCAGTGATCAAAGGATGTAGCTTCATGTGTGACAAGACCATAAAAGATGCTTTATTGCTGGCTATAAGAGCATAAACATGGCCTTGCTGAATCAGGCCAGATGAGGGAGTGTTGAAATTTGTTGGGGTGGGGAAAGCTCGATCTGTCCTCCAGTGGCAACTGGCATTGTCAACACTTACTGCACAAGAGGGAAGGAAGGGTGTCAGGGGCCCTTTTCACACTACACAGATATAGCACAATAATTCCACTTTAACTTTGTTGTTGTTAACTACATTCAAGTCAACCCGACTCACTGTGACCCTATGGAGGAGACATCTCCAAGCCCCCTTATCCTCCACTCCTCAGCTTAGTTCCTGCAAATCCTGGCTTGTGACTACTCTGATTGAGTCTATCCATCTGGCATGCAGTTTTCCTCCCTTTCTACTACCCTCTACCTTTCCTAACACTATTTTCTTTTCTAATGAGTAATGCCTTCTCATGATGTGGCCAAAGTATGACAGCCTCAATTTGATCATTGCTTCCAAGGAGATTTCAGGCTTGGTCTGTTCAAAGACCCATTTGTTTGTCTTTTTGGCTGTCCATGGTATCATCAGCACTCATCTCCAGCACATTTCAAATACCGTAAGTTAATTTTCTTCTTCTCCACTTTCTTCACTGTCCAGTTTTCCCATCCATACATGGTGATGGGGAACACAATGGATTAAATGATTCTAACTTTAATGTCCTGTTGTATAGCTTTACTTTTTAGGATTTTTTCTAGTTCTGTCATAACTGCCCTTCCCATTTCTAGCCTTCCTTTGATTTCTTGATTGCAGCCTCCATTCTGATCAATGTTGGATCCTAGGTATAGGAACTCTTGTACTATTTTGATTTCCTCATGGTCTAGGTTGAATTTATGGAGATCCCCCATGGTCATTATTTTTGCTTTCTTTATGTTCAGCAGCCAGCCTACCATTGCAGTTTCATCTTTGACCTTGTGTAGTTCTTGTTCCAAGTCTATGATGTTTTCCACCACTTTAACTACCATGGTTTCATCCTATGGAATCCTGTGATTTATCATTCCAGCCAGTGTGATCACTCGAGAAGTTTGTTGCCCTCTCCTTCCTATCTTGCCACCCACAACCCTACTATTCCATACCCTTTAACTGTCCTGATATAGCAGGGGAGTTCCAATTAATCATCTGCCATTCCACTGTTTTACTTGTTTTTAAAATGTCCCAGTTTCTTTCCTCCTCCTCCTTCTCCCCCCCTTTGTCTTCAACTTATGTTCACTACTGCAAACCAAGTTCAGAGGAGAAAAGTAGTTAGAGCTCAAGGTAGCAGGAGGAAGATGAGAAAAAGGGGAGGAATAATTTGCTTCCCAGTACACTCAGTCAAAAGCAAACTGCTGCATTCTCTCCCAGCTTGTGTGTTCTACTGTTGTCATCTTGACTACACTTTGATGCTGCTTAAGAATATGTCCCAGTTTTCATCTGTAAAATGTTGGCAGGTATTCTATCCCTATATTCATAGCATTAGGATCTTGGAGAAAATGCATGAAAAATGAGGAATTAGAGAAGCAATGAGCAATTGGGTGAGGTCCAATTTTTGCCTCTGTGACCCCCTAACCTGTGTTTCTGTGTGTATTGGACGTGATGCAATGTCACATCTAGTTGTCATTTTGTGCTATTTTCAGTCTGTTTCAGACACATGGTGTCTGCAGTGTTGGGGCTGCTGGGAGGGAGTGGGTAAAAATGTTGTATATGCAGACTGATGATAACCCAAAGGGAAAAAAAATTTTTTGGAGAAGCGTTAAGGGGCTTTGCAGAGTCTCACTCTCCCCATCCCTGGTGAATGCATTTACAGCACAATTGTAGACATAAATGCTCAGGTTAATCTAGCACATTTCAGTGGGAACTACCAGGTGAGAACAAGCACAGTATAATGGTTTGAGTATTAGACTACAACTATGGAGGTCAGGGTTCAATTCCCTGCTCAGCCATGGAAACCCACTGGTGACCTTGGGTGAATCACACACTCTCAGCCCCATCCACCTGTGATAGACTTGCCTTAAGTTTGCCATAAGTTGGAAATTACTCCAAGGCACACAAGAAATTACCAGGTGAATAATGAGTAGTGTTGAACAATAGCATCACTGGGGGTGCAGGGTGTATGGCCCGCACTGGGTGACACCCCAGAAGGGGGGTGACACCTCAGAAGAGGGGGATGACACCTGGTTGGTCCCCGACCTTTTTCGGGATCTGCCAAGGCCCGTCAGCTTCTCCCCAGTCTTCCCCAGGACCCACCAACGTCCACCAGCTTCTCCCCGGCCTTCCCTGGGGTCCACCAAAGCCCGCCAGCTTCTCCTAGGCCCATCCCGGGACCCGGTGGCTTCTCCCCAGCCCTCCTCCAGAAGTCCCAGCCCTAGAAGTCCTATCCCCACCATGACTGATGGCACCAGGTGACACCAACCCTAGGGATACCTGGTGTTGAAATCTTTACCTTTACCTTTACCTTTTCCAGCAGTTCCAGCCCCAATTTCCTACATTTTATCCACAATTTAATCCACAAGTCTACTTTTGCAGCATGAAGGGCTGGCTAGAAGCTTAGCTTCTTAAAATGGATATTGACATTTTCAAAGCCTTATTCACAGATGCAGTACTCATGCCCCCCACACTCCTTTTTAATTTCTAGCATTTTCTAGCACTGCCACACAGTAAAGCAACTTTCTAGCCATTAGGTCTGAGTCCATGTATATATCCCTAGTGGCTAGAAAGTTGCTTTACTGAAAATGATTAAGGAGATCCCCATTGTTGTTGTATGCGTGCCTTGAAGTCATTTCCAGTTTATGGCGAACCTACCATGGGATTTCCTGGGCCTGAGAGGGTGTAACTCACTCAAGGTCCCCCAGTGGGTTTCCATGGTTAAAAAGGAAATCAAACCCTGGTCTCTGGAGTTGTAGTCTGGTGCTCAAACCACTACACCATCTGTCCTTCCTGGACTGACATCTGCGAAGGATCAAACCGCAGATGGGAAGTCCATGAACCAGGAGAGACAAGTGTATATGAAATGAATTTATATTGTATGTATATTGGTGTTTTTAGCTTTTATTTTGTAATGGCTTCCATTTTTTCTTGAATGTCCTACACTTTGTGGTGCCTTGTCCTCCTTGGTTATGACATATGGTCATCCTGAGGAAAGTGGGAGGATGAGATAGAAACAGGGACATTTTGAAAAGTGGGATGACAGAGGATTAATTGGGGTTGTCTCTGCCAGATCAGGATAGTTGGAAAGTATGGTCTCCCTAAGCTAGGCTGACCATATTTCCTTGAGACAAAACCGGGACATTGGGATGTCAAAAAATGGGACAGGGTTACATAATATGCTGTAATGAAAAAGTAAGACGATAACAAGTTTTGTTACATGAACATATTGAGATAACAAATATTCTTCAGTGACAGAACTCATACAAAAATGTAGGTAGAGGTAGAGGAGGGACAGTATTTCACCACGATCGATCATCCCATGAACATTTCTCCAAGGAAATAATCTTGTGCAGCAAATGTTGGTCTTTCAACACCCTGTCGTAAAACGTCTCACATTCCATGGCACATTGTTGTTGTTTTTATTTGCTCGTCTTTTGTCTTGTTTTTGTTTTGTTCTGGAGAACCACAGTTTCAAACAGGAATTTTGCAACGTAACGGGGCATTTTTCTTGAAACTGGGTCAAAACTGACATTTAGATTAAAACGACAGGAAAGTCTGGAAAGAGGAAAAAAGAAATGGTACTGTCCCATAAAATGGTCCGTATGGTTAGTCTACCCTAAGTCTAAATGGAGGGTGCCTTGCAGATGCAACTGTCCATGCATAGGCCCCAAAATAAAGTTCTTTTCCTGCAGAAGGGTTAAAACACTCCTAGAAGCAGAAGGGCAGCCAGCCACCCCCCTTGCCCCCACACTCCCTTGGCTTGCCCTGCCATTGTTGAAGTAACTGTTCCTGCATTGACGGCTTTCCTTTTGATGTCTGGCAATGTTTGTTTATGAGCGCCAGTGGCCTGGGTTCACTCTCAGGAAAAGCTTTGACTGAAATCCCCTCTGCTGCCTTTCCCTCCTCCTTTTCACAGCCTCTGAGTTGATAAACCCTCAGGGCCAGCTTTCAAAATCCCAGGAAAAGTTTGAGCATGAACCTCTTTCTCTCCACCTGCCTATTCCCTTGGCAAACAGGGTGGAGAGAAATGAAAAGGGGGTGAGAAAGAAGCCGGATCCCAATTTGGGCTGGTTTTATT